CGATCATGTAATGATGGTTATTAATACACGAGCATTAACCGTGATACGAAACGAGCCAAAGGCGAGTTTCGTATGGTTTATGCGAGTGTTTTAATAACCATTACATGAGAGTTGCATACGCTATTTTTTCTACACCCGATAAATAATCAAGACCTATAAATATTATATTTATATTGGTATTGAACACAATAACAGTAATTACTCGTATTTCTATAAAAAATTCTACAAAATTGTAATTAATGGTATTACTTCAGGTATTGGTATTTCCCTAGATTTTTGCGGTAAAATATTTTGTACTGTATTTTCTGCTTTCTCCGATATGTGTGGAGGAGTCTTCTATATCGCTAATATCAGACATTTTAATATTATAATTATCGAAGTTTAGCTACCTACGAAAATTTAATACGTTTTGACAACTAAAATAATTACATAGGAACCTAGGACAAACGTCAAACAGCATGCTTGATTGAAAAATTGTAGGTTTCTATTGATTAAAAATCTGTATCGTAATGAAAAATCTGTATCATAATGGGTATCATTATGAAACGGATTATGGGCATATAAGTGCATTATTATAATACGGGTGTAGAAAATAGTATATTATGCAACGATCATGTAATGATGGTTATTAATACACGAGCATTAACCGGGATACGAAACGAGCCAAAGGCGAGTTTCGTATGGTGTATGCGAGTGTTTTAATAACCATTACATGAGAGTTGCATACGCTATTTTTTCTACACCCGATAAATAATCAAGACCTATAAATATTATATTTATATTGGTATTGAACACAATAACAGTAATTACTCGTATTTCTATAAAAAATTCTACAAAATTGTAATTAATGGTATTACTTCGGGTATTGGTATTTCCCTAGATTTTTGCTGCAAAATATTTTGTACTGTATTTTCTGCTTTCTCCGATATGTGTGGAAGAGTCTTCTATATCGCTGATATGAGACATTTTAATATTATAATTATCGAAGTTTAGCTATCTACGAAAATTTAATACGTTTTGACAACTAAAACAATTACATAGAAACCTAGGACAAACGTCAAACAGCATGCTTGATTGAAAAATAGTAGGTTTCTATTGATTAAAAATCTGTATCGTAATGAAAAATCTGTATCATAATGGGTATCATTATGAAACGGATTATGGGCATATAAGTGCATTATTATAATACGGGTGTAGAAAAACTTATTTAAGAAAGGACCCCGCCCTTTTCTAATAGCAAAGTGGCGTTCCGTCAAATGTAATAAATTTTAAATATGATGTTGTACTCGACTTGTTGACCAAAAGTGTTCATGGGACCAATTCAATCCTATGACTAGTTTTTAAAATACAGGGTGGTAAAGTCGAGAAATAGTATTTCTTGAAACTACGTAACTTAATTAAATAGAAAAAAAAAAATAAGCATTTTCAGTTGATTGTAGCATTAATATGTCCTAGTCTAACGCAAACGTACACATAAATAGTTCAAAATATAAACATATACAGGGTGGTAATCAGTTACATCAGGGGGAATTTTTGAAATTCTGAGAAATTCTGATATGAAATGAAAACATGGTCAAAAATAAAAACTTACATAATGTTTACTGTTCTAACATTATATAAACACATCTTACATTATATGTATACAGGGTGATTGTTAATTCATTCCACAGAAAGACGTTTCTTAAAAAAAAAAATTACACTTTATATATTAGGGAATTTGTTATTAATATTGAATATGCATTTAATATCTAGAAAACAATACTGTTTATGGAATACAGGGTGATAGATACATCTAATTCGTTTTTAATGCAGCAATAATTAAAGAAATATTTCTTTTTCAGAATCACCCTATATTTTTCAATTCGATCCGTCAAAATGTACGATCTATTTATTTTTGTAATTAGCTGTAAGCAATTAATACCTTCGTATAATTTCATAATTTTAGTGTGATCCGTTTTTGAGATTCCAATACATATAGTGAACCATATTAAATATGAGACAATTCAGGATATTCGCACACTGGAATTTTTTATTTACTGAAAAATTATCGGGGGTAATACCACAAGAACTCAGATTTAACCGGATATTTTTGTGGTTATTTTCGAATACTTACTTTCATTGGCAATTGCCTAATGAAAGTAAGTATGAGAAAACCACCGTAAAAAATATCCTGCTAGATCTGAGCTCGCGTAGTATTTGGTAAGACCATTCCATGAATAGAAAAATCAATTCAATTAAACTTTATTTTTTTTTTTATTTTTCTGGAGTTGATTTTTCAATCTCCCTTGCTATTTCTGCCTCGCAAATATTAATAAATCTCGATATACTGATATATTGATTACTGTTTAATTCTGTTTTTTACCTTTACAATTGTCAAACGGATGCGACGCGCAACGCTTGATAAACGAACAATAAATGCTACGGTAACGTAATTTATCCGATATTTTTATCCACTTGCACTTCTGTTTCTTCCTATTTAGCTGATAGTAAACTACGATTTTTGTACTCACAAATGGGAATTATTATACCTACATACATTAGTGGATATGTCTGATATTTAATATGGTTCACTATATATTGGAATCTCAAAAACGGATCATACTAAAATTATGAAATTATATGAAATTATTAATTGCTTAAAGCTAATAACAAAAAAAAATAGATCGTACATTTTGACGGATCGAATTGAAAAATATAGGGTGATTCTGAAAAAGGAATATTTCTTTAATTATTGCTTCATCAAAAACGAATTAGATATGTCTATCACCCTGTATTCCATAAAAAGTATTGTTTTCTAGGTATTAAATGCATAATCAATATTAATAACAAATTCCCTAATATACAGAGAGTAATTTTTTTTAAGAAACGCCTTTCTGTGGAATGAATTAACAATCACCCTGTATACATATAATGTAAAATGGGTTTATATAATGTTAGAACAGTAAACATTATGTAAGTTTTTATTTTTGACCATGTTTTCATTCCATATCAGAATCTCTCAGAATTTCAATAAATCCCCCTGATGTAACTGAGTACCACCCTGTATGTTTACATTTTGAACTATTTATGTATACGTTTGCGTTAGACTAGGACATAGTAATGCTAAAATCAACTAAAAATGCTTATTTTTTTTCTTTTTAATTAAGTTACGTAGTTTCAAGAAATACGATTTCTCGACTTTAACACCCTGTATTTTAAAAACTAGTCATAGGATTAAATTGGTCCCATGAACACTTTTGGTCAACAAGTCGAGTACAACATCATATTCAAAATTTATTACATTTGACGGAACGCCACTTTGCCATTAGAAAAGGTCGGGGTCCTTTAATAAATTATTTTGTTTCATGATAAAATCACTTGTATTTAAAGTTAAAACACAATTTACCAGTATACTAAAACTCCTCTTTTTTCATTAGTCAAAAGATTTTGATTTAACGAAAGAAGGTAGGATATTTCTGAAATGGAGTTTGTTTGGTATTTCAGTTGGACGCCGAGAAATATTGTTAATTGCATTGGATATTAATAATGCGTCATCATTTACATATCCTTCAGCTATTATTGATGATTACCAAACACCAAGTCCTTTTAAAGACAAGTCACCTACTGCACAACTAAATTAGTGGCTGAAAATCTTCTAAAAGGTTGACCAATGTATCGCTACCTGGTTCTGGCAAGATATTGTCCATTTTTTGTGAAATACTGATTATATTTATGCCTGCCATTTACTTTAATACATATTTCATTTCTAAAACTTAAAAAGAAAGTTATATTCCTAGAGGACGCAAATTAATATATTTTTTATAAATTGAATTTTCTAATCGGATTTGGACTTTTTGCGGTATGGCATGGTCATCTGAATTAGAAATAAGTCTATGATATTGGAGAAATGTGTTAATACACGTGAAAAATGGGTCGATTTATCTAAAAGTTAATCCTTTGGCAAATTCAAGTATCTATGTGTCATGTTTCTCGTTTAGGCTGTTTACTACTAAATATATGTTTTACCAATCAGATATAACTAGTCTTATTAGTATTTTTTTAACAACTAAAGGGTGATCCAATTTCAGTTTCCTACATTGGCACTACTGTAAATCAGTGAGTTGATAATATGCATTTATTTTTGAACCGTCAAAAGTCAGTTTGTAGTAACACATTTACGAAACGGATCGCTTAACGACCGCTCAGCGCATGCAAATTGTACGATTGTTTTATCAAAACAACAATTCTATACGAACCGTATACAGACGTTTACGCGCAGATTATTATCAATGTAATCGTCCTATGGAGCGAACTATTCGAAATGTCAAAAAATTTGAAGATACTGGAAGTGTTGCAGATATGAGAAGGTTTGTGAATCATCGTCGTACACGTTCATCTGAAAATATTGCTGCAGTTAGTCAAAGCCTGGCTGCCAATCCAAAAATGTCGATTCACGGCGCTCGCAAGTTTTAGGCTTTTCTTATGGCTCCCTTTGGTGCATTTTGCATCGGGATTTGCATTTACACCCATATAAAATTCAGAGAACACAAGAGCTGAAGCCTAGGGACCATAACCAATCAACCCGAAACGTTAGATCATCTGAAAAACAATATTCGCCAAGTTATTGCCAACATACCGCCCGAATTGTTTGAAAAAGTCATCGAAAATTATCTAAAAAGGATCGACTCTTGCAGAAGGTCTAGGGGCGGCTATTTAAATGATTTTATTTTTCATACTTAATGAAATACTTAATATTTTCTATTGCTAAAGTTAAAATATAATTTTTTCTAAATTTTTGAGTTTTATTTCATTTTAAAGATGGGAAATTCAAATTGGATCGCCCTTTACTAGGCTATATTCTGAAATATATTTAATATGAATCGTATTAAATACAGAATAAAAACTTCTCGCAGACTGCGTTCGCTGAAATTGGAACAACTCAATTTTAACAAAAAAACGTTTACTGTTATTATTTCACAGATGAGAAAACGGCGATTCAATAGTAGTTTAGTGAACGTTCGTGAAAGAAGAAACAAAATTCCAGTAAAAGTGACTTCTGTGTTAATTAATCAATAATATTTCTAGTTGGAATAATGTTTATATTTTTTATATAGTTATAGATGTAGTTTTGCAACCCGTTTCCTTGGGACAAGTAAGATACTTTGATTAGAGAAGTAAAAATAAGATTTTTACAATTTTTTATGAATGATTGCTATAATATTTATCTTATATCATACTGTAAATTATGGAATTAGAATACATTATGAATATAGAAAATAATAGTCCGATATGTGTTCCTTGAAGTTTTCCGAAGTTACATAAACTTCAACAGATGTTGCAACTAGTAAACAAAGCCTTTTTCTTTTATATAGAAATACTTTTGGAGTTGTCTCTGGCTGGACATAAGGAAGAAATAAAATGACCACATAAACCATCATCTTCTCCTTCTTTCTCCTCTTCTTACAAAGCAGAAATTCTTCATTAACATAACCCGTTTAGTAACATTTTGTGTAACATTTATAACATGTTTCAGAAACATTTTCAGTGAAATATTTAATACAAATATTTCAGAAATTTGGTGCTCGAAATATTATATATTTAAATTCGTTAGAATATTTTTTTAGGTATGTTCAGCGATAATTCGTTACCACGTTTTATGATTTTTATGATTCTTGGTATCATATAAATGTGGTAAAAATCTGATGATGGGATCCATTATCATATTCAACATTCATTTTTGGAGGTTTTTTTAATTACATTTATAAGCCGTCATTCGTCTCTAATACCTTGTTCTAGGGTGGTCCAACCAAAACGCATTTTGTTAATTGTAAATAAAACAAAAAGTTTTCACAGAATTACCTTATTATTTTATATTATGATAGAAGGATATATGACAATTATGTGTGAAACAAAATATCGGCCAAATGCTTGCCACGGATTCAGTGGCATACCTCTATCCGATGGTCCATATTTTCAATGACTCTAAGACATAATTGATATCGGACTTATTGTGGCCAGAAATTGAGGATATGAACCTGGACGATATGTGGTTCCAACAGGATGGTGCGACTTGCCAACGAAACAATGGCTCTTTTGCGCGAGAAATTCAACGGCCGTGTTATCTCACGTCGCTTCGTGGGGATGTTAATTGGCCGCCACGATCATGTGATTTGACACCGTTGGACTTCTTTCATTGGGGATACTTAAAAGAAAAAGTGTACGTAAATAAGCCAAAAACAATTCAAGAGCTAAAGGATGAGATAATTCGGCACATTAACGACATTGAACCTCAATTATGTCTCAGTCATTGAAAATATGGACCATCTAATAGAGGTATGCCACCGAAGCCGTGGCGAGCATTTGGTCGATATTTTGTTTCACACATAATTGTCATATATCTTTCTATCATAATAAAAAATATTAAGATAATTCTCTGAAAACTTTTTGTTTTATTTACAATTAACATCGTGCGTTTTGATTGGACCACCCTTTATAAGAAAGAGAACAGTCTAAAACTTGGTATTATAATACCATTCCCTGTATCCGATAAGCACATCTTTTTATTCAAGCTACTTCGTATCTTATCCGTTTCCGATATCTCTAATGAAACACCTTGTATAACATAATATGACTCGGTAAATTAAACAGTACGTAATGTATACAGTGCGTCCATAAAGTAACGCATAAATTCATTATTGGCTAAATGAACAATAAAATTAGGAATTCCCAAAACAGGTCGATTTTTGATTTCAATTTACTATTGTTTCAAATCATAATCTAATATACAGGGTGAACCACTTTCGTGTAATGACGTCATCACCATTTTTTTCAAATAGAACCCCCCTTTTTTTTTCAATTTCCAAATTGCCTTTGCTGAGCTGATTCCAAAAATGTATAATATGTTGCTTCAAATTGGTACAGGGTGGGCAAAAATGCAAAAATTTACTTACAAAGTAATGAAAATAACGAATAAACGTAATAAACACATTAAATGAAATTACGTATTGTTATTACAACTACTTTGATAAACTATCAAGAACATACAGCATTATTCTTAATAATCTTACAGCTTTTATTAGTGATCCAAGCCCCTGGACTATAAAAATCTTTTTGTTTGGCATTATCTTTTACCAGTTTTTTTTATTTGACATACCAGTTTTTTTTTATTTGACAACACTGTCAAAAACATTGAAGCACAGTTTCGTATTGTTAATGCTGTAGAGAAGGTACGTTCGTGAACTTTTTTTACAAAATGCCTTTAACCGAAAGTGACAGGATTGAAATATTAATGATGATTGGTATTGGCGATAAGATGCGGACTCAACAAGAGGTATGCCGATTATTCCATGAAATGCACCCAGATCGTGAACCTATTTCACAATCTACGGTAAGTAGAATAGAGCGAAAATACAGAGAATTAGGACATGTGAGGGATGCAGCAAGGCAAGGTAGACCAAAAATTGATGAAAATATTCAACAAGACATAATTTTGTCGGCTGTAGAAAATCCATACTGTACAGTGCGAGGATTATCTAGGGATTTTGGTATTGGAAAGTCTTCAGTATCAAACATTTTCAAAAAGGTAAAATACCATCCTTATAAAGTACGTCTCATCCATGAATTGGCTGAAGACGACTTTGACCGAAGAACTGAATTCTGCGAGTATATGATGAACCAAAATAACAATTTCATTGATAACGTTTTATTTTCGGACGAGGCAACGTTTTATTTGAACGGTCATGTTAACCGGCAAAACACCCGTTATTGGTCTGATGAAAATCCACACTGGATGCAAGAGTACCATACGCAAAGACCACAAAAAACTAACGTATGGGCTGGTATTGTGAGAAATACAATTATTGGTCCATATTTTTTCGATGAAAACTTAACAGGAGCATTATATCTGGATTTCCTACAAAATACATTAATTCCTGATCTGATCCAGCTTTTTCCTGATATTCAAATACCCACTAATGTAGACCGCAGAATCTGGTTTCAACAGGATGGCGCACCGCCACATTACGCAGTAGCTGTGCGCAATTTTTTAAACACAACTTTTCCACAAAGGTGGATAGGAAGAAGGGGACCAGTGGAATGGCCTGCTAGATCACCTGATCTGAACCCATTAGACTTCTTTTTATGGGGTTATTTAAAATCTAAAGTCTACTTCAACAGACCTGGAAATATCCCTCAACTACAAGACCGAATCAGACAAGAAATACAGAGCATAACACCCGCTATGCTACAGAATGTTAGAGACGAAAGTAATGCCCGGTTCAGTCATTGTCTAACGGTCAATGGAGAACAATTTGTTTGTTTGTTTGTTTGTTTGTTTGTTTGTTTGTTTTTGGAAGTGTATCACATTAATTGCATAACTACATAATTCCATTTAATTTGTTTATTACATTCAGTAACGTATTACTTTCCATAAACAATTTTCATATTTTTTTTTGCATTTTTGCCCACCCTGTACCAATTTGAAGCAACACATTATACATTTTTGGAATCAGCTCAGCAAAGGCAATTTGGAAATTGAAAAAAAAGGGGGGGTTCCATTTGAAAAAAATGGTGATGACGTCATTACACGAAAGTGGTTCACCCTGTATATTAGATTATGATTTGAAACAATAGTAAATTGAAATCAAAAATCGACCTGTTTTGGGAATTCCTAATTTTATTGTTCATTTAGCCAATAATGAATTTATGCGTTACTTTATGGGCGCACTGTATATTGCTGTTTGCTCCTTTTCATTTCAATCAACAACAAGGTTACTACATACTACATGCAATGAAAATAATGATTCTCTATCATTATGAAATATTCTGTCGAGTTATTTCTAAGCCTTTAACAATCAAATAAAATAATATTGAATAACAAAAATTTGAAGATAACCATAACAAAAAATTTAGTGGTTCCCAAGTTTACCTTCTTATCTCAATTAAGTCGAATACAATGTTTATTATTATCATATGTTCATTTATAATCAAACTTATGTGATATAAGGTAGTTTAAAAAATACTCCGTGACTCAGTGATAAAAGTTAAAAATATGGAAGATTTTGTTATGTATGAACCTGTGTATACAGAAGAACAGGAGAGAAATATTGCAAAAGAATTTAGAAGAGCTGAAAGTGAGTATAAAATTATTTATTTTTTGTTATTATCAGTTAATGACAATGACATGTACGAGGTTAGGCTATCAATTTAAATGTTTAATTTTAAATTATTATTGTCGTTTTTAAATAAAATAGCGTATTTTGTTTTAAAATGTAAGCCTCAATTTGTAATAATTTATACATCTTTTTATTAATTTATAAGTAAAACAAAAATAATTACAATTGCATTCCAAGGTGACTGAAGTACATAAAGAGGTGCTTTGGGGGTCCAAATTTATCGAATTAAAGAAGATTAAATTATCAATAGATAATATCCATTTAAGAAGAGGCCTTTGATTAATTGGGTTTAAAAATATTCACGAAATTTGGTATGTCCACATAAAAAGTTCGCATCTTGGAAGGGTATTATTTAAAATGTTAGTCCATTTTCATGGTCTAGTCCGAATAGAAATTGTATATTATTGTTTAGTTGTTGTTTTCAACATTGTACGTTAATATAAAACCAACATGGTAAAATAATAATATACGAGGTAAAAGTTAGATTAATTGAACCATAAAATAATTTACAAATTAACTATTTTTTTTTTAATTTTATAAGGAAATGCTGTATAATTGAAAATAAAATTAAAACGTTTCAAATCTTAGTCGTGTGTGCAGCAAAAGTAGATATTTATGATGTCCATATCATTCGGGGTCGTGGTTTAAATACGATACGGACAACCTACCCTCAAGTAGTAAACTACATTTTTCTACGACTTACTAAAGGAAAACTATAAAATTTTAAAGTTTTTAAGATAAAATAACTATGTACCTATTTTAATAATTATTTTTATATTAAATGATCATAATCATGAGTGTCAAAATGTCAATCGAATACGTCTTTTAAAACTAATTTAGCCACGAAATATAAACAATACTTTTTCAACAATGCCTATAAACATGGGCATCCGCAAGAAAAAAGTCAGGGGGAGGCAATCAAAAAAGTTTTAGTTTGTCAACATCTAATTGTATATGTATACAAGAAAATAATTAACAAAATGAAAACCCAGGGAGGCAACCCCCCTTCTCCCTTCCCTCCGAATGCCCATGCGTATAAACAATAATGCCAATAAGTAATTTGTTGTATGTATTTTAATATACTGCAGTAAATTTCATGTAAAAATTCAATTCGATATTAATTTAATAAAAATAATAATAATAATAATAATAATAAACGACTTTATTTCAAAATATTTAAGAAATACAATACAAAAAAACAGTTATAAATTAAATTACACATGTCAGCTGTGGCGAAATCTAGCTGAAGCTACTCCTACTCAACCACAACAGGCATGCACCAGTAAAAAAAAGTATTAATTTATAAAATAATGGTTTGTACACAAAAGAAAATAATTAAATAAGAATGACAGAAAGTAATAATAATTATCAAACAATATTTATAAAATAAACTAACAAAGAAAAAATAGCCCTCCTATTAAAACATATCACCTATTAAATATCAATTACCATGGGCAAATCAGCAATTTAAAAAAAGATTTTCTGTTTATCAAAAAGATAGTTCCTATATTTATCTTTAAATTTGTTAATATTAAAAACTTTAAATGCATCTGGCAAAGAATTATATAATTTTATAGCATTGTAGGTGAAAGATTTCTGAAACATGGCTGTACGATATTTAGGTATAGAGAATTTATTGCTATAACGAGTATTTCTACTGTGGATAACGGAGTGAGGGATTAATTTATTTGTTAATTTTTTGTTAATTGTTTAATTAAAAATATAATTTTTGTATTTACTATTAAATTTAATAAATACATTTCCCAACTAACGTGTATTTTTATCAGTGGCATGGTAAACCCATGAGGACGGGTGGCACACCATTTTTATGGCGCCAATCCAATATTATAAATACCTTTTTTACAAAAATATAAATAAAAGAGGTAGTTTTTGCAGGAGTGGCTCAAGCACAGCCCTAGACACACCACTGATTTTTAAATGCGTTTTTTGTACAATTTTACTCCTGACCTACTTTTAGTTTTGTTGATATGTTAAGTCCAGGACGGACGAATTGCTCTAGAAATTCAGTTAAAAAATTGTAAATAGCTCGTTAACTAAGAAAGATACAAAGTTCATTTCGCTATAAAAAAAAAATAAAAAATTCATAGTTCTTTTTGATTTTAGGATCGATAAAGCAAGTTTCTTTATGTCAAAAAAAATACGGGGGTTAAAAGGTACCCAACCCCCCAACTTTTTTTAAAGGGGTCGCTTTAAATTTTTTTCTCCTTAGAATATTGGGCCTTCAAATCTACGGTACTGGCAAAAATTTCGAAGAAAAATCACAAGAGCAAACTTTTTACAAAAAAAATAACGTTTTTCTGAATGTTAGTTTACCTTTGTTGGGAGCCAGTTTTTGATATAGGTAAATATAGCCAAATCCACTTATTTTTTGGTAATCTATCTGAGGATGAATTTATGACATACCTTTTTGAAACACCCTGTATAACAAATTACTCATCTACAACATCACGTACAACTTTGGGATTGTGCTAAAGCTAAATTAACTTATGTGGGTATCCTCCAGAGATTTAAAAATAAAGTATCTACCTACTGCGAAATATTAAGAATAGCTTAATTTTAAATAACACGAAATAATAATGCATTTTAATTCAAGAAACCCCCATCTAAAAACTCCGATCCATAATAATAAATGAAAAGTTTTAAAATAAAAAAGGTTTTCTTCACTGAGTATCTACAAGATTGTATAAGATAAACATAGATGGCAGTTCATGGTAATATAAATAATCTAGTTTATTATAATATTTTTTGTTATCTAATTATCTTTGTAAAGTTTATTATGTTACAATAAATAATAATTTTAATTCAACGAGTATAAATACACATTAAAAAAATATACATACAATAATTAAAGTTTGAATAATATAAAATAAGTGACGTATTTGTGATTGCCTAAGCACTAGTGACAATTTCGCAAATAATCAATTTAAAATCAAACTAATCTGAGTTTACAAGAATATAAATTGGATTGCTATGGAAAAGAAATCATTATTATGAGTATAAAATTATAAAATAGCCCGGATAAGTATAATAAAAAGAAATAATCAAATATTAAAGTAATAATATTAATATAAATTTTAAATTTAAAAATATTACAACAATATTATTATTTTGTTGGAGAAGCTATATCATTAAAAATTAAATTTAAAAAACTTATAACTAATGTAATAGTAGTTTGTGCGATGTGGACAATCCACTCGAGTTGTACAGTATATTTATTCTACGACCCACCAACAAAAATTTACAAATAAAAAATATTTTAGGTTATTAAGATAAAATAAGTAATTTTAAAATAATTTATGACTTGATAAAAAAAAAACAAAAAAAAAAGAGAAAAGTTAATTTAATTTTTCCCCATCTGAGAATCGAACTCCAGTCTTCCGTTTGGAAAGCAAAAACGCTAACCGCAGGACCAACTATTCTTTTATTTTTAATACTTTATTACTCGTAATTAAATTAACTTCATATAGGGTGAAGTAAGGTAATTTCGTGACATAGGTAAGTTCGTGATAGAATTATAAAAATTTGTCAGCAAGTTGCCTATTGCTTTAGAATTTAGATGGATGAATCCTTGGTTAGTGGAAGGTGTATGATGCTACTAGATGGCGCAACCTGCCGCGTTTTTCTATATCACGAACATACCAGTCATTAGAGAACTTTGTTTACATGTGGTGCGTATTACATCGTAATTTTTGGCGGGTTTTGCAACTAGAAAGAGATCTGCTGTTTCAAAAGGAATTACCGAAAGGTAGGCTTATGAAATTTATACCAATTATAGTATCTGAAATAGGGAATCTTCCTGTCAAATGCGATTTACAAATTTTGGCTTAGTTTTACCGTAATTGCTTATTCCGTGGAGCTAATTTCTTACGTTTTTTACATGTGCTGAAGATGTTAAAATGCTAGGGTTGTTGAATTTTAAATATCTTTTTTCGCACGCAGTAAAATTACCCCATATTCTAAGAATGTTTTATTTTTATGATTTACTACGAACCTTATGTAAAAAAAAAACGTTATTGAACATATCACGAATTTACCTATTATCACGAATTTACCTATTGTTTGTAATTTCAGCTTTAACATGGAAGACAAAAAAAGAAAATATCGCAGTTATAAAATATCTGATTTAATAGAAGCTGGTAGGTTAGTAAGGGAAACAAACATGACAATCTATAGAGCAAGCAAAGAGACTGGGATACCATGGAGTACTCTGGAAGATTTTTTGTCAAAAAAACCAAGACAACCAGCAACAAGTTGCAAAACTAGGAAGGCCTTATGCACTGATGCAGAAATTGAAACGAAACTATTCAATTATATTGTCAAGATGCAGGAACTAGGTTTTGGTCTAACAGTTGAAATGGTAAGAAAAACAGCTTTCGAATTGGCAAAAGAATCTGGTAGAGAAAATTTTCCCAAGGAAGGTAACAATTCTGCAAGTAAATGGTGGTGGTCACAATTCAAGAAGAGGTACAATCTTGCTTTACGCGTTCCAGAAAATATCGCAGTTTATCACGCCTCTATGGGTAATCCAGAGATAATACAGGACTACTTCGTAAAACTAGCACTCATGGAGAAGCTAAACATAAAGAACATGTCGAGTAGAATATGGAATTGCGACGAAACGGGTCTATCTTATGTCGCTAAGCCCAGTAAGGTTGTTGTCTATTGGAAAACGATACATTTACAAGAGAACATATGCTGATAGGGGTGAGTCACATACACTTTTTGGTTGTATCTGTACTGACGGGACATGGATTCCTCCCCTAATTATTTTTAAAGAAATTCGCTGGAATGATAATTTAAAATCGGACTGTCTTCCTGGTACACTAGTTAAACTGTCTCCTAAGGGTTGGATCAACACTGATTTATTTCTGAAGTGGCTCCAATTCTTTAGTAAATCAATTCCTCCAGCTCGTCCTGTTATCCTTCTGATGGATTCTCATGCCTCTCATATAAATGCCACAGTAATTTCTCTAGCTAAAGAGAATGACATTTATTTATTCACTTTTCCGGCGCACACATCTCATTTGCTTCAACCCCTAGATGTAGCCGTGTATAAATCTCTTAAGGCCAATTGATCTAAGAGTTTAAACGATTTTATTGAGAGAACATCCTACAGAAAAACCCATCAGGCAAAATTTTCATGCTCTGTTAAATCCAGCATTTATCGCAAGTTTTTGTCATTCCAATATCACAAATGCTTTTCGAAAAACTGGGGCGTGTCCATTTGACAAAGACGCTATTCCCATAGAGGCTGTTGCTCCGTCTCTACTTACCAATAAAGCAGCTCCTCAAGGACCAGTTGTTGCAGATGAAACTGAGGCAGCCACTGCAACTGATCAGAAGCAGTTATTGTATCTGCCAGTGGCACCCAATGCATCCGATGTTCCTGCCAAAGCAAACCAAAGGAAACGGGATTCGAAAGCTAAATGTCTCAATGATTTTGATGATGTTTCCTCATTAAACGAACCTTCTACGTCAGGTACTAATAGCTCTAAAGTCAAGGTAAAATCTGCAATGAACGTCAAGACTCAGAAGTCGTCTACATCCAAAGCCAAGACTATTTATGAAAAGAAAGTTCCCTAACAGCAAAATGACAATGAGGATGACTGGAGGTGTGGTGTTTCTGAAGGAAGTTGGTTGGAAGATTGTAAGAAGAAAAATGGAGCACGGTGGATACAGTGTTCCTACTGTTTAGTACCATATCACCTTAAATGTCAAACATAGATACTGTTTTTATGTGCGATAGTTGCGCTGGTACTAGCAGCGATGACTCAGATTAAAATTTTACGCATAAAGCGATACATTGTAACTTGTAACCGATAATAAAACCGTATCTTACAATTTTTAGCACTAACTGTTGTCTCACGAATATACCTACCCCATATCACGAAATAAGATATCCAATCACGAAATTACCTTACCGTTCTATGTTATTTTAAAACTTTTTTTAGTGAGTTTCTAAGTTTTTTAATAAAAAAATACCAAAATCTAAAGCCAAACTGTAAGGTCTTAGCTCCCTCACAATTATAGCAAAAACGCATGCCATTTTCATTACTTTCAAAACTTACAAAACTTACAAAACTATAATCAGCACGAACATACCTTACTTCACCCTAGTTTTATTTAAATTAACAAAATATTTATAATTATAGATGAAATTAAAACAAAAATGATATTTATCGATTCTAGACAAGAATAACCCATTTTAATAATTAATAACTAAAAAATATACTGACAATTAGTTCGACAGAATTGTCATTTATTTAAAATTTTAAAAATAATAGCAGTCGGTTGAACAAAATATGAACGGTGATTGGTGGATTTCATTTTTTTGCGGTGTTCTCACTACCTAGAATGGATATGAAATATATTCGTTCAGTTGAAGGAAGATAAGCTAATATCCATGTGGGTATAGAAAATATAAACAGAAATTAAATTGTTTGATGTATTAGAAACACAGAAATAGTTCAAAGTTAATACAAAGCTATATTCTTTTCTACTCATTTACTCCGAATAATCGTATTCCCTATTTATTTATTTATTTTGTCTTTTTAGAAACATGCTATTTGGATCATGCAGGTGCAACGCTGTATTCGGAAAAACAAATGCAGCTGATTTTGTCGGATTTATCCGATAATATCTACGCTAATCCGCATTCGCTACATATATCTAGCAAACTAACTGAGGATCACATAGATATAATCAGATTCAGGTATGTAATTTTATCCTTTTCTAAAAATATCGATAACAAATTTATTTATGGCGGTATTGACTTGTAGAGAATTCAAATTAGTTTAAATTATTTTATCTTAATTTCCGTTAAATTAGTTTAATAATTTTTACATTTTCCAATATTTTCTTTAGTTTGTCTAATTGCATAAGCTATTATAAACAACTATTGTTATAATATGCATTGGTATAGTTAATTTTTTATACATATATTATATATTCTATGATTTGTACATTCAAACAGCTTTAATTCTCTTTTAAAAGTATAGATCTTTAGAATACAATAATTAGAACGTCCTATTTAATAATTAATTACGTTTATTTTAGCTAAAAAATGCTGCATTTCATAATATGAAACATAACTTTCTATTTAATAATATTTCCAGAATTTTACAGCACTTTAATACAACAAATGAGGAATATTCCATAATTTTTACATCTGGTGCTACGGATTCTCTTAAAACTATAGCAGAAACTTTCGACTACGGGCAACCTAGTGAAGGCACCTTCGTATACCTGCAAAACAATCACACTTCAGTCCTCGGCATGAGAAACTACTCCAAAAACTCACAAGAACTTAAAACCGAAGACGCGTTCCGAATATTATCGATTAATTACGATGATGAAATGTATGAACGCAACGTATGTAATAACTTGTTCGCTTATCCTGCCCAATGTAACTTTTCTGGCACGAAATACCCATTGGATTGGATAAAGAAAGTAAAAGAAGGCGCCCTTAACGGCGTTGTAAATACTAAAACAGGAAACTGGTATGTTTTATTAGATGCTGCTTGTTTTCTGTCACATGAAATATTAGATCTGTCTGAACACAAACCCGATTTTGTGTCGGTGTCGTTCTATAAAATATTCGGATACCCCACGGGATTGGGGGCATTATTGGTAAGGAAAAGTAGCGAGCAGGTATTGAAAAAGAAATATTTTGGAGGAGGGACCGTGTTTATGGCGATAAGCGCTCAAAATTTGACTGTGCCCAGAAAAATACTAAGTGATAGGTAAGTAATATAAAATACAATAAGGCCAGACGAAAACGTATCAGTCATTATCAGGTACAGGTATGACATCATTGAAAAGGTAATTTTATGGAGAATTCAACAATATGACAATTCATTGCGCTGCTTTTGTTTTTAGCGCCTTCTAAAGGGATGAAAAGGGATAAAAAAATGTGACACTTTATTTTTAAATGAATATAAATTTAATGCGAAGCATAAATTTGTTATTTTGGTAGAATGCGATTAAAATTTATGTTAAAAACACAATGCATTTAAACCGTAAAATAAACTAAGTACGACGCTGCATTAAATTTAGATATGCGTTTTATTTCAATATTGTAAAATCACAATCTTTAACAAGTTGTTACTACGAGAGAAACAGACTAAAATAAAAACATTAGATTTGACACAAAAGTACAAATTGCATTTTATCATGTAAACCCTAATCTTTCCCGTGCAGAAACTAAAATACGTACCTACGCAATTTCTAGACGAAGAGACAAAGTACATCATTGGCCAGACCACTGGAAGGGCATAGGATAGCCGTAAGCCGTGGAATATATGCATTGTTTTAATTTATTGTATCAACGAATCTCTTATTATTACTACATAAGTTAAGTGACTTCAGTTTTGAACAAACATACTAAATATCTTCCAAAAGTTTCATTGTCATAATAAGTTGTAAACACAATACAATAATTGTATTATGATTTTACAATTCTATTTTAATAAATTAATGTGAAAAATCAACTTCATTTTCTCTCATTATTTGACACTTTTATCAAGATATTCAACTACATGTCTACAAAATCAGCTGAGGTTTGTTACATCAACAGAAAACCTTCACTCCTTTTCAGTTGGTATTTCTTAATGTTAGAGCTCTGGAAGATTTTTCATTTATTTAAGTTCGTATGCCAATTAATTATGTTTTGTTATGTTGTACATTAAATTGTTAATAAAATTAGCCTTCAAATGAAGTGTCACAATGTGCAATATGTAGCCCACTAGAGAACGAAATAATCAAAAGTAACGCAATGGGGACAACACCCCCATTAAAGGAGAGTAAAATGACGGGCATCGACATCGCCCAAGTGAATGTCCATCACGCCAAGGGAGCCTCGACTGTGATCTCCAGGACATTCACTAAAGATCAATTAGGGATCGTACTGATCCAGGAACCGTGGGTCTAAGGAAATCAGGTAAGAGGACTTGCATGTAAGGATGCAAAGGTAATTTATCACACTAGTGATGAAGTACCCAGAACATGCATAATGGTAAGAAGTAATATTAAATATTCTTGTCTTTCAGAATTCATGACGCGTGATCTCGTTCCAATTCGAGCATACCTGGAATTAGGTATGAGGCGGCAAGACATAGTAATAGCTTCTAGTTACTTCGCCGGAGATGGGCATGTACTATCCCCGGAAGTATCGAGGATTCTTACCGGGTATTGCCGACTAAAAGGACACCTAAGTAAACAGAGTAGTAGAGGATAGTGAGTGCAAATTCTATGAGGAGGAGGAAGACGAAACCTTTATTCACATCCTAACTGAATGTGTAGCACTCCAGAGTCCAAGGGCACTATATCTAGGAGGATATCAAATAGAAGAGGGAGATTTACCTAACTTGAAGCCTCTTCAAATCCTACACTTCCTTGAGAAAATAGGATTGGAAGGGTCGTTATAGGTATTGAGATATTTTCTTGGTGCATTTGCGACAGAAGGGGGCACGATATATCTTTTAGGTCGCAGTGTATTACCACCCCATTCCCAACATAACATAACAACGCAATGGAATAGTAATATTTCTGAATTCTCCAAAAATTACCTTTTCAACGATGTGTCAAACTTGGTACGTCCCTATTTAAATTGTATTAGAGTGACGAATGGCAGGAAAATGACGTATGTCAGTTGAAGATGTAACAGAAAGACACAGTTCCTGATAATGACTCTAATACGTTTTCGTCTGGTCACCCTGTATACATATATTTTAGTGCATTTGTAACGTGTTTAAATGTGTATCATAAAGCACCCAATAACTATTTTAAACGTTTATGACAATGAACTTTGTCACGATTTCTTTTTATTTTCAATATTTAAAAATCAATTCACGGAACCATAAAATGGTGTTTATTCAAACTATAACGAATATATAGCTTCCAAAAATCAGATTAAAATTAATAAAAACCTTTCTATTCCATTTTGTTCCCTGAAAAAGTTCTGAAATAGAATTTGAACTTGAAATTTAAGCAGTAAAATCGCCTACACAAAAAAATAACATCATTGAATTATGTTTTTGTACTCTTTTCAAATATGGAAATTAATTAAAAAAGATCATATAAACAGGGTGTTGTTTTAAGGGGAGAAGAATTTATGAATTTCGACCCAAGCCGGACCTAAATTTTTCTTTTTTTATAGATTACAACTTTATCAACCGTCAAAAAACCGACGGGATAGTTCCCAAGTTATAAATTAAAAACAAAATTGCTAAAACACCTTGTGTCTCGGTTATAAACTGTCAGAGACCCATTAAACAAGTGTTATTTCAAATCACATGTGTCGGTTTTCCCAATGATTCCACAATCTACAAACTTCTTTGACAACCTGCCAATATTTAAAAGTATAAAAACCTAGTCAGCAAATCATTTAAAATGATCAATATTTTTATTAAACATTTTATAATTTTTTAGGTTCGAAGATGGAACATTACCGTTTCTCAATATTTTATCCCTGAAACATGGTTTCGACACCATAAAAAGGCTAAATTTAACATTCGATAAAATATCAAAGCACGCTTTTTGTTTGACCCAATATGTGTACAGAAACCTTTTAACATTACATCATTCTAATGGACGGCCAGTGGTTATATTGTATCACGATACAATGTTCGAAAATTGTAAACATCAAGGCCATATAATTAATTTTAGTTTATTGCGAGAAAATGGAGAACATGTTGGATATTCTGAGGTACGTAGAATATTATAATTTAATTTAAAATTTATTCTTCATTTAATGTTATATAATATATAGGGTAGAGCGGCTCAAAGTGCCGATCATCACTCCATTCCTACCCGCCTGAAGCGTCGTAGCGGTAATGAAGGCACATAATTGTGCAACCATTTGAATGTACTATAGCCCTTTCCATACGCTTATTCACTTATTTCCATTCTCTCCAGGTCTTATGGTCAGGAGGAAACTTAATAATCCTTTAACAAGTATGATGTGGAATATAATAAACAATTATCGATGCCGATACCTGTTAAATTTAAACCGTCATCGCAATTACATTATAAGAATATATCAAAACAATTAATTGGGAACATCACACATCATAATATTAATCTGTGATGTACTGTCTAGGTAACTCTTATGTATACAACCAGTATATCACCAATAAAATAATGCACTTTTTGTACCAATGTCGGCCGTTTTGAGCATGCGCTTGAGTCGTTTTCAACGTTAAAACGTAGAAATTTTTCCGGCTTTCGAAGTTTCGAGTTTCTCAATTTTATTAAATTCATTATTTTGTAAATATTGATATGAAAATTAAAATTATACTTATAATATTTCCAAAAAAATAATAATAATATTTTATTGTTACTAATTTAGGATTACAAAATTTTTAAAGTAAGAAGAGTTTCTATAAAAAATATAATTCTGTAAATATAGTCTAAAAGTGAGTACCTAAATATGCGGCTTTTTGAAATAGGCTATTAGATTTTTCTGATGGCCGAGTAATTACGATTAGAAACAGTTTTGAATAATTTGAATAATAATATAATAATAATCTTTATTTAATTAGGAAACCCTTATATACATAAAATAGAATAAAAGTACACACCAAATAAAAAAATAATTATATACAGGGTGTTTCATAATATATGCGCAGGACTTCAGGACGTGATAGCTCGTCCAAGAATATGAAAAAACGTTTCTATTAACTTACCCTCTAAAATGCACCATTTTCAAGATACAGGGTGTTGAAATTGAAAAAAAAAATTCCACGCCACTGGAAAAAGTACGGTTTTGAGACGCCCATTTGAACCGCCTATGTTTTCTACACGAAAGAGGTACTCTTGGTCATACGCTCTAAAGTCGACCGTTTTCGAGAAAAATCAAATTTTAATGTTGAAATACATGGTCAATTTTTGGAATGATATCCGAGGACAATTAATTAGTATCAAATATTTCTTTGATATTAAAATACGTACATGTTATGTTTGAATGGTCTGGCCCGCGATGACATACCTGAAATGTAAAGAAACACGCTTGTGAGCAATCTTTGTACATAGATATTGGATTCAAAATTAAAATTTTTCAAAATTGATTAATCAATGTTTGATGGGCAATGGTCTGGAATATATTTACGGAAGAACAGACGAGATTGTTGACAATTTTGAAGGGTTTTGTCAGAAATTTTTTAGATTGGAAATTTTTAGAAATCGAAATGGAAACAGATTTGTAATTGATGTACTGGAGGTGTTAAAAAACGAAAACAAAAATTATGAAACCAATAAAAACTAAGTATTTTATCTAGACAGAGCAAAAACATACTTCTCTCTAGCGGTGCCTATGAAATAAATATTGAAGTAAAATTTGAATTTGGTAATATCATGTGATCGTAGAAAAAAGCTTTTGTAATTCGAACGGAAAGCTATTTGCCGCTTACTTTTTAACTCAAGCAGCAAACTAGAACTTTCCGCTCTTATTACAGAAATAACTACTGTTTGCCTTGGTTTTATATTCTTTATTTTCCTTTTTCCAACACACGTTATCTATAATTATAATTTATTTCTAACAATTTTGAATCTTAAAACTTTCTTTCAAAATATTTGACAAAATCCTTCAAAATTTCTGACAAAATCCTTCAATATTTCTGACAAAACCTTTTAAAATTTACAAAAATTTCCGTCTGATATTTTTTTCCTAAAACATATCGATGGTTCAACAAAAATTCTAATTCCAGACCATTGCCCATCAAATAATGATTAATCAATTTTGACAACAAAAATTACGTTAAATTTTTATTTTTAACCCAATTACCATATCAATATTTATATTTACAGACAATAAAATTGACACAGATTGCACTTCTTCTAATATAAATTTAATGACTCTGATTATGTTACCTATTTTAAAATCTCCCAGACCAAGAGCGATATCTCTTTCTTTTGTTTTTTAAGTGGATATTAAATAATCGTCGTTTTGTGTGTTTATTTGCAAAGAAGTGTTTATTTTAACTACATTAATAGATAAAATAAGGTGATTCTTACATACAATGATAATACTTATACAAATATTAGGCATTCCAATGACCTGTCAAACAATAGGTGCCAGTGGGAAGTTATTGTATGTCTAAGGGGGTAGCGACATATTCTTGCATCTTGGAGGATATTTTTATTCGAAATAGTAGTCGCCAAGCCTGCCAATTTATGAAGAAATGTATAAGCAGGTTTTTTTAAATATTATTTTTATTGTGTTTGAATGTAGATTTTAGATAGAATACATCGTATGTCGCAACCCTTAGATACACCAAACCTTCCCACTGGCAATTCATTTGTTTGGAATGCCTAATAAGAAAATAAGAAAAACTCACCTTTATAAGTCATTGAAGCCTTTTTCTCGCCTTCTCCTTCTATCACAGTCCTGCTTTTTCCTCCATTGAATTTTTACGCGATACCCGATATATATCCCGGACATCTTCTGTACCCGGCGACGAACTTGCATTCTAACCTCAAATATAATTCTAGCATGCCGTTTCAATAACAGCCCTTTGATGCCTCTAAGATTGTATTTGACTTAAACGTTTTTATTGGATAACCAAAATAAAATATCAAAATATATAACGTGATTAATATGCTTACTTTGTCACCAACATTTTTAGGCCTGATGATGGCTTATAGATGCCGAATAAAATTATGCTAAATTACTTTAAGTTTTCTTTCCTTTTAAAGGATTACTATAAATGAATGATTTGGCTTACTTAAAATATTTAAATTTAAAAAAATATATATATATATACATATGAAATTATTTTTCATATTACTCTAAACTAAACATATCTAAGTTTTTTAAGTATATATCATATTTTAAGTGAAGAGCTAACTGTTATTATGAATATTTTTTCTCAAAAAAAGATATTAAAAAAGTTTTCCATATGGTTCAAACTTTTTCAGAGTATAGAACTTTTAAAAAGTTTTAGCAGACTCAATTATTTTGTTTATCCAAATAAATCTGTTTGAGTTTAATAAAAATCCTAAAACCATCACCGAGCAGTATTTCTGCAGCCTTGTCCGTTCAATCAGTACAGAATTTACACCTCAAAAAATTAAATACTGCTCTTTGTGGAATGCAAATAACTTCAGAAGGCATAAAATTCTGATGATTGGACGTCTTTATTGTCAGAGAAACGACTACAGACACACAATATCGTCGATATTTATACGACATAATCAAGAATGAAATTCTGTATTAATTTGTGGCATAGATACCAAACGATACCAACACACATGAGTTGTTTTACGAAATAACTGACTATTAAACCGATAAAATGTATTACATTACTAACAACTCCAGCATACTCCTACCCGACACATTTAGCGGACTTTAACGATTCGACACATTCACTTTAAAGAACTGAAAAGAAAAAATAAATTAAATTTTATAAATTAAAGAAAAAGTACAAAAATATAGAAATTTAGTGTTTTTTATATAAAAAATAGGAAATGAAAAAATTTTAAACAACTTTTAAAAATGTCCGGCCATCCGTGTCAAAAACGAAAAATGATATGAAGTTGAAAATTTCAGGAAAATCAAGCTCTATAAGGGGACGAATCCTATTAATTTTTAAAATCTAAAAAAATGGGGAGTTACGGGGTGGAGTAGAAATTAAAAAAAAAATGTTTACTCGAAAACGAAAAGTGATATCAACTTAAAATTTTTAGCAAAAATCAAGCTCTATAAGGGGACAAATTCAATTTATTTTTAAAAATATCTAAATAAAATCGGGGGTTAAGAGAAGTTTAAATTAAAAAAAAAATAGAAATCAAAAGCGATATATGAAATTTTTAATAAAAATCGAGAGGTAAACACATCCAAAAAATATGTACACAAAAATTCCTAACAAAAAATACCTGAGAATTCCCGGGAATACTCAGAGACTTCCTGGGAATACCCAGAGCCTTAGTATTTTTTTAAAAAAAGAAGATGCTTTGTTGGAACAAAGTTAATTAATTATTTTTTTCTGAAAACAACTTATGCCACGTTTTGTAGCTATTTTTAGGCTCTTTAAATATTATGAAACTTCAAAAAAATTTGTATTTTTAAAAAATACAGCGTGCTTTTCTAGCTTCAAGGAATCCAGCAGAGCACCTCAGTTATTTAAAGCTCTTTTTTAAAACAACACCACATTTTTAGGCTCTCGAAATATTGTAAACTTTTAAAAATAAATGAGTATTTAAAAAAAAACGGGTGCTTTGCTAGTTTTGAAAGAATCCAGCAGAACACATTTTTTAAGCTTTTCTTTTAAAAAAACTACACCACATTTTTAAGCTATTTTTAGGCTCTTAAAATATTATAAAACTTTATTATATAGGTAATTGCTATTTTTCAATAATACAGAGTGCTTTTTTAAAACAACGCCAGCAGAGCACCTCGTTTTACTTTTTTTTTTTTCAGAAGAAAACTACTTCTGCCAATGTTTAAGCTAATTTTTTCGAAAAGTTTTATAATATTTCAAGAGCCTTAAAATCGCCTAAGAATTTTGTGTGGTTGTTTTTAGAAAACAAGCTTTAAAAAACAGAGGTACTCTGTTGGATTCGTTCGAAGATAGCAAAGCACCCTGTATTTTGTAAAAAATACTAACTTGAAACTTTGAAAAGTTATATAATATTTCAAGAGCCTAAAAAATGTGGTGCAGTTGTTTTTAGAAAAAAGGCTTTAAAAAACTGAGGTGGTCTGCTGACTTC